AGACATGGGCTGAAATTTCAGCTTGAGTGTGGGAAGCTTTTCTTCTGGGCAGTTTCTCCAGTTTGTGGGCTTGTCCTCACAGGAGTGAAAGGTTCTGGTCAACAGTATCTTTTTTATCTAGTGTCCTTTAGCCTTCTCAGAATGGAGGACTTTTCCCTTCTTTGTTATGGTTTTATAATTCCTGACGTTTACCTCTTCAGACTCAAAACATAGCACAGGGTGCAACTACAGAGAATTGTGGCAAAAACTGACATGACACAAACTCATAGAACCATTGCTATTAGAGCACTTTAACACTTGGCTTTTAACACTGTCCTAAGAACTATGCACCTCTGCTCCACTGAATTCTCACAATACACCTGAATGTTACAAAGCACCATCTCTATATTAGTGAGTGTTAAATGGGACAAGTAAAATGTTCAAAGCCCTGCACATAGCAATTAGGAAAGACAGCATTTAACATACAGCATAGCTAGTTACAAAGGTTGAGCTTGTCATTTTTGCAATTTAACCTCTAGTTTACCAATTTCTCCCTCTCATGTATCTGGACCTTGTATTCTGCCCCTAAGATCTATTGCCCATGTCTGAAAGAATACCCTGACTTGATTAGTTTCACACAGATTGACCTTTATTATTTTTTATGTGCTAGAGAAATGATGGTTGACAAAGTTTATTAAATATATTTAAAAATATATTTCCCCAATAATCCTGTAGTGTGTGTGTATGTACCTTTTCCAGGTAAGTTATGACCTTTGTTGAAAACAAAAGACAATTTCATTCTTATAAATTTTGCTGTTGTTTAGTGTCCAAGTAGGTTACATAGTAATGGGAAGAAAGATTACCTCTGACATAATCTGATTGGCCTGCTCTTTGATCACCTCCCCCTCAAGGGGGAGCAGCCTTACCAGGCCACAAAAGATGACAATGCAGCCACTCCTGATGAGATCTGATAGACTAAGATCAGAAGGAAGGAGAGGAGGACCTCTCCTATCAGTGGACTTGGGGAGGGGCATGGGTGGAGAAGGGAGAGGGTAGGTGGGACCGGGAGGGGAAGAAGGAGGGGCTTAAGGGGAGATACAAAGTGAATAAAGTGTAATTAATAAAATAAAATTAAATTAAATTAAAAATAAATAAATAAATTTTGCTGTTGGCATCTCAGAGATCACATAAGAACATCTGAAAAGTACCAAATTATAAGCAGATCATTACAGAGGAATTCTGAGAGGAAATTAAGCATTGTTGGTAAGTTTGTAAAGGATATGCCATGCTTTTCAGTAAATTGTTTGAAAGCTCACATCATTGCACAAGTAAGGAAGTGGTAAATACTTAGCAAACGTGACATCCAAAGAGAACTGACTTCTCCAGGATACTTAGCTTTATCAATCTTAAGGAAAAATCCCAACTCAAATGTCTGTCTAAATTGGTTTGTCAATTCATCTCTTGTGGTTAAAGTGCAGTTTTAAAACCAACAGTTTCATTGAGAATCTATACCTTTTGAGCAGCAGTATGCTAATACTTACATAGAAGACAAAGCCGTGGCTCTGAGGCCTGCCCGCTGTCCAGTGAAGAAGGAAAGGACAACACACAGGCAATATAGCCTTCTGAGGGTAGGGAAAGCTTAAGAGACAACACTCTAAGCAAGGTGCTATGTGGCATTGCAATTGGGCAAAAGTCAGGCCTCGATACAGTACATGTACCTGTGGAAAGGTGAGCACCAATCTTATCATTTGCTTGGGAGTGTTCAAAGTAATTCCTAACTGATTTTGACATGGATGAGATGTCAAATTGTGGAGGCCAGGCGGAAATTAAGGCAGTCATGTGAAGATACCTGTGTTTTGTGGAGGTGAAACAAATGGAATTAACTTCTGCTTCGAAAGCCCATCCTTTACTGGAATAAACGAAGTAAGGCAACAGAGAAAATGATACCATTCATAAAATGATTACATTCGTGGTGTAAGATATAGGGCAAAACTCAAAGGCTGAGGGATTTCTGACTGAGGACATCATCACATTGAGTCAACCTTAAAACAATTGGGAGGGCATACTATTGTTAAGACTCTACTGGAACAGTTTTCCCCGTGGGGTTTTTTTTGGGGGGGGGGTGCGTGCGCCCAGAATAAAGAGTAAAAACAGGATTAATGGACATAAAAAGGAAATCACCTTCAGTTTGGTCTATCCATGAAGATTGGGAACACAATTTTTACCACACTTAGTCCTGCGCTGAGGCCAGTGATCTAGACATTCATAGCCTGATTGAGTCTCTAACCTCTGAATAATTTATGACCAAAGGGCTTGGGAAGAGAGGATACCAGGTCATCTTTCCAAGAACTGGTCTACTTGGCCAAGCACGACTTTCTGAGAAGCTGCAAGTTTTTTATTAATTCAATAACCATTTGAGTGATGGTTGCATATGAGGCAGTGAAGAGGATATGGACAAAGCAACGAGACTGTCCAGTCAGTGGCTTCAGGACACATCGAGTGAGATGAGGGAAAAGGAAGGTCCCTGTTAGGCGAATACTCAGGACTGTGTTGGCTTGAATAATGTCAATATGATGCCCTGCATTTAGCTTTTGTCTGAGAAGAGCGTGCGTATATGAATTTGAAAGCCAGGAAACTATCAAGTTTATTCTCAGATTGTAGCTATCATCACTTCCATGGGCATGGAAAACAGACAAACCGGAAAGACAAAGAATATGATCAGGCATCATCAAGAAAAAAAGCACATATATTTACATCATTAACACCATTATTTTGATTAGAATAAACAGAGAAAATCTTACATGTATTTCTTAAAAGATTTTTCCTAGTGCTGTGCATGAAAGTCAGAAGATGAACTGGAATAACATTATTCACACAATAATCTTTCTTTCTCTTATTGGACCTGGACTTGTGGGAAATATCCTAATATTTGTGAGACATATATACATGTCTACCTTGGGGACTGAGAAAAAGCCTGTAGACCTTATTTTCATCCATTTGGCATTTTCTAATATGATCATTATTTGTAGCACAGGAATTAGAGATATAGCTACAGTGTTTTACTTTGGAAACTTCCTAGGAGATATTGGCTGTAAAACTGTGGTTTATCTGGCAAGGATGGCAAGGGGCCTCTCCATCTGCACCACCTGTCTCCTCAGTGTGGTCCAGGCTGTCACCATCAGTCCCAGGACCACCATTTGGACAAAACTCAAACCACGGACAGCATGGCAAGTTCTTCCCTTTTCACTCCTCTTCTGGATTGTTAATATTCTCATAAGCTCCAACTTACTCTGCTACATCAAAGGAGGCAATAGCTTGAACAGGTCTGTAGCTAGACTGTTCATTGGGCATTGCTATATGCTGCCATCCAGACATATGATCAAGTGGCTTTTCCTCACTCTCATGACTCTTCGTGATGCCATCTTTCAGAGTCTGATGGGCTGGAGCAGTGGTTCCATGGCTCTCCAACTGTATAGTCATCACAAGCGTGTCCTCTACCTTTACAGCTCCAGGTTTGCAAGCGACTCTCCTCCAGAAATCAGAGCTACATGGAGTGTTCTCATTCTCATGACCTGCTTCCTTTTCTTCTACTGGGTAGATTTCATCCTCTCCTTCTACACAGGTTTCACAGTGACACATGATTCTATTTCACTAAATATTAAAACATTCTTAGAACTTGGTTATGCTGGTTTCAGCCCCTATGTTCTGATCGGTAGAAATGTCCGTATTACTAACATCTTAAATGCTCACTGAGAAGTATATAAATTATATTCTACATCCATTCTCTATGAACTAAAGGTATATACATTGTAAACTGCTTAGCCATTGTGAATTTTAGAGGTTTAGACATAATGTTTGCTATGTAGCATACTCTGACCTGCAGTCAGTATGTAGCACAAGCTCATCTTGAGGTGCCTCAGCACCTCAAATGCTGGGATTACAACATTCCCCACCCAAGTGTCACAAAACTAAATTAAATATTGTGATAATAGATTTCCTGTTTTTAAGAAGTCTGCCATTGCACAATCTTGAGGCCTGTTCAGGGGGTTGAGGGAGATGGAAAGCAATTCTCACCATCTTCCTATTTCACCATCCCTCTCGTGTGACTTTTACCCTCTCATTTGCACTGGGGAAATGCTGAAGGTAAAGATTCTGCTGAAAATTACCATTGCATTTTGTCTCCAAAGCCAGAGCATGAAAACAAAACAGATAGGGTGGAGTGAAGATAGGACCCTGATGTGAGGTGAGCTTCTGCTGCAGAGAGAAAGTGGCAGTGACACAGGGAAGGCCACCGCAGCACAGGAGGCTCGATGACCAATTGTTGGACATTGCCAGGTTCAAGAATGGAGGAGAAAAGTGTCAGTGCTGCTGGCCAATTATATCTGGGTTAGAACCTGAAGTGTTAGTACAAGAAGCTCTGGCAAACGGGCTGTCTCAAATGATGAAGGGTCTGTAGACCATACTCCAGGCGAAGGCCTCACTGGCAAACTGATATGTTAAAACCTTGATCATGAATTCTAACAATGGAACTTTAATCCCTCACTCTCAGTCACTCACTATGGTCTACACTGAGCATCCTAGTGTTTGCTAGGCTTCCTTGAATTCCATTCTCCATCTTCCCTAATGCTGTGCAGGTGCACCCTATTGAACTTAGGATAAGGAAACCAAGGTTCTGAGTGTGAAGGGATCTGCTTGACGTAATCCAGGTGGCATGGCCATGCCAACCATCAGAACACTGAGAACCTTGAAAACTCCACAGTCTTTGGCCCAGAAGGACCCAGAGTCCAGGTCCTCAAAATACAGCACTACAGTCACCCCTGGAGGCTACTGCCTGCTCTGAGCTGTGAGAGTCCTACTCCTGACGGTATGCAGAACCTTGAAGGGCTATTCATCAAAGATGCCCATCAGCTCACTGCAGTTCCTCCCCAGGATAAGCAGAAAATCCCAAACAGTTCTTGCAAGGAGTTGGCTGAACTGTTCTCTCTACAGCTGAGTACTGTGCCTGGAGTGGAACCAAAGCTGCATGCACTCCTTCCTTGGTCCAAGAGCTGAAACTTTCCAGGGTAAAGCAAGAGATAGACCAGGCTGTGGGTCTCTGAAATACTGCTATTTGCTTAGATATACTAGGTTCTTAATGTTTTATAATATAAAGACCAGTAGTATGTTTAGCTTCTATGTCAACTTCTGAAAAATTTGAATCACCTGAGCAAGGATCCTCATCTGAACAGTTGTACTGTCTTGATTGATGTGGGAAGACCCACCCGACTATGGATGTCCCACAATGGTAAGAACCTAGGTTAAAAGGGTGTATCAGAGAAGAGATCGACCTACTTCATGATTACTTGGCCTTCCAGCTTGTCTCAGAGTTGCTTTGCTCTTTTGCTACTGGGGATGATTCCTTTGCTGTTAACAGAACTAATGGCTCTCTAGGAAACTTCCGGGCTTCTGGAGCCAGATTAGGACTACTGAGACACCTGCCTGTAGACTAACCACCAGTTATGGCCCCTGGTAAGAGACAACTGTGGTAAAACTGCTTGAACAGGTGAGGCTCACAGGCTCAAGGACAGAATAAAATACTGCATTCTCAGCTGCCCAGGTATAATTTAGCACTTGTCAACTGTTTTCAAGCTGACTTAATAAATTCTAGCACTATGTGTGCACATATATATGACATTATTTTATTTATTGTAATATTTATTATGTAATATATATATATATTGTTTTGCTCCCCTAGGGAACGCTAACTAAAACTGTCACCTTTTCCAGCGTATTCTGAAGTGAATGCATGGCTGGGGAGGAGGGTTGTCTCTCTAAAAACCTTGTGAGTGTTTAGCTGGCATATCCACTGTCTTTCTTATGAAGTGGACAATGTGGGTTAGAAGGATAGGTCCAGACCTCACCTGACAATTCTATCAAAAGCCATTTTGTTTTCTGTAATTTCTCTTGTATTATTATAAATAAAAGAATTATTAACTTCCAGTAGGTATATTTTTGATACAAATCTGAAATCTTACAGAATAAGCTAAATTAACATACCAATCTATTCCTTTGTTATCATTTGATGAGTAAAGCGAAAGCCCTGGAAATCTCAGTGACTTCCCAGTGTGCACTACAGAATACGTCACACTCATCTTGTGTGCACTAGATCCATGGAATTACTCTAACTGAGAGCAACCTTGTCCCTGTGCCCAACAGCTCACCTGTTCCCACCTCTGTGTCCAAGAGAAGCACAATTCTGCTCTCTTCTCTGTGCACTCAGTGGGTCAGAAGCATAACTACATGTCTTTTTTTTTCTTTCCGAAATTAGTAGGCAATGTTTGTGAAAGAATGTTTTACCTAGAACAGGTGTCTCTGAACCTTTCCACAGGCTCTGCCTGTCACTTAACTGTGGTCCAGGCTGTCACCATCAGTCCCAGGACCACCCTTTGAAAAAGGCTTGAACAACAGTCTATGTGACGAGTTCTTGCCTATTTACTTTTCTTTTGGATCTTTAAATTCTGATGAGCTCCAAATCTCTCCACTATATCACAGTAGTCAGTAGCATGACCAAATGTGCAGTTGGAATAAATTGCGAGTGTTGTTATATGATGCAGTTACTTTCTAGGGGTCTTAATTGGGTTCAATTTCTCTGCCGGTTAAAAAAAAATCAAGAGGTGCAGGGTCGGGGTGGGTGGTAGAACCTCAGACGCAGAAGAGAAAAGCAGCATACAGAATAAAGAAAGGCTTTTATTAGGGACAAGGACACATACACAGTGAGGCACACACAGAGAAAGACCCTCTGTAGAACAAATGGGGGACTTGGGAGGCAAAGCCCAGTTTCTGCTTAAGGGTGGGGTGTTCCAAGGGTCTTTGAGGGATCCTCCTGCCCTAATTTCAGCTTGTTCACTTTGAACAAAGAAAAGAAGGCTGAATGGCCCACAACTCTGGTGTACAGAGTTTACACCAGATACAGCCCTGATACAGCCTTGAATTTATAGGACCAACATACATACAGAGGGCCCTCTTGGCAGGAGAAAAAGTCTACCAGGCCTTTAGGCCTTTGATTCTGTACCTGGATGTTTGCTTTATTCGTTATCTATTACTGGCCCTTCATGTGTCTGTCTATCAGGGACCTAACTTCCTGTCCTCTGTGACATCCTCACATACAGTGAGCTGAGGGGTTTTGTTTACTTTTCTTTCTCTTTCTTCTGTCTCTTTCCTCTCTCACTCTCTCTCCCTCAACCATTCCCCTTCTTCTCTCTCTATCCTGCTGGGTGGAGCCTTTCAGAGTGTAGCTTTGCTAGGCTCCCATCTGCAAGTATAGCAGAGTATCATTAATAGTGACAGGGGTTGCTTCTCTCCCTGCTTCTTTTTGTGACATAATCTTTCAGAGTCTCATGGGATGGGGGAGTGGGTCAATGGTACTGTAAAATGGTACATGTAAAGGGTATCAGTACCTATATAGACATTACAGGTGTGTCCTCTACCTTCACAGCTGTAGATTAGCAAACAGTTCCAGTTCAGAAATCAGAGCTGGACAATGTCCTTATTCTCACAACCTGTTCTCTTATCATTTATTGAATAGGTTTTACTTTATGCTTTTTACATAACTTTCTTTTTTAACTTTTTTTTTATTCACTTTAATTCCGATTACATCTACCTCCCTCATCTCTTTCCGGCCCCATACTTCCTCCTCTTCTCTCTATTTCCCCTCCCCTTCTCCTCAGAAAAGCCTCCCCACACCAACACCCCACAGCACATAAAGTTGCATCAGGACTGAGCACATCCTATTCCAGGCAAGTCAGCCCCGCAAGGGGTTCATGATCAGAAAGCAGGCAGGAGAGTCCATGACCGAGAAAGTCCCTGCTCCCCTGACTAGGCAACCCACATGAAGACTGAGCTGCCCACCAGCTGCACATCTGTAGGGGGACTAGGCCCAGTTCATGCATGTTCCTTGGTTGTTGCTTCAGTCTCTACAAGTCCCCCCTGGGCCCAGGTTGTTTGACTCTATTGTCTTCTTGTGCAGTTCTTGTAGCCTCCAGGTCCTTCTATCCTTCTCCCACCTCCTTCCACAAGGCTCCTCACATTCTACCTAATGTTTTGGATGTGAGCCTCGGCATCTAATTGGATCCCCTGCTGGGTGGAGCCTTTCAGAGGGTAGCTTTGCTAGGCTCCCATCTGCAAGTATAGCAGAGCATCATTAATAGGGACAGAGGTTGCTTCTCTCACATATGGTGGGTCTCAGGCTGGGCCAGGCATTGGTTGCACACTCCCTTAATCTCTGCTCTATCTTTATTCCTGTGCACCTTATAGCAGGTTAAGTTTTGGGTCAAACTTTTTGTGGGTTGGTGTTCCCCTCCCTTGACCAGAAGTCATGTCTGGCTAGAAGGTGGCCTCTTCGATCTCCACAACCCCAACTACTAGGAATATTAGCTCAACTCATCCCCATATCTTCCAAGGAGCTTATCCTATTGTAGGGCTCCAGCTTGCCTCAGAGATGCCTTGCCCTCAATTTCTTTTCTCTCTCTAAGCCTGCTGCTCTCCCACTTCCATTCTCCCCACATTTGATCCCCATCCTCATTTCCCTCCCCACTCCCTCTCCTACCCTGTTCCCTCTTTTCATCCACTTCCACTGTCTATTCTGTTTCCCCTTTTGAGTGAGAATTAAGCATCCTCCTCTTTGTTATTTAGCTGCTTTGGGTCTGTGAATCATGGGTTCTAACTGTTGGCCATGACTATGCCATTTTGTAACACTCTTCCATTTGGGTCAAACT